TTTTTGAGCTTTTATTTGCTTGAATGCCTCAGTGTGTGTGACACACTGCTCCACCATAACATCCTTCCTGAGAATCAGCCGGGTTCCATTCCTGGGTGACATAACGTTGACTTGCTGCCCTTCCTTGTACTGGCATTAAAAATTAATTGCACAGACACAGGTATGTATCTATGAGATACATGCATCTTCAAAGGTAAGGAGGAGCTGGTGCAGGTGTATGGGAGGTTCAGGAGCTGAGGGTAGCTCCTAGGGGAGCTTGCAGCTTTCAGGGCAACCTGTGCTCATGAATCACTTTGGTACTTTTCCATCCACAGCATTCAACCAGCACGTGAACTGCAAACACATGGGCAACTGAAAGGAATTAATGCATTCCTTTCTCCTGCCCTTAAAACTGAATGTGCTCATGCTGCCCTGTTCCTCCTATGATGACCATTTGGTGCTCAGCTCCATACTGGGCTTCCTCCTATATTTTCTTATTCCCATTTCACTCTTCTATCTTGCTTTCTCTTATTGCATTGCTTATTAATCCATCAATTCTTTTCCTCCTTTACTTCACATTTTGTTCCCCTCTGTACTTTGTCTCTCACAGACAAATGAGTGCCACCTGCCTCTTCTAGTCCTCCCAGCACGTGCAGTGTTTTGGAGCTGCAGGGAGGCCAAACGCAGCAGAGAAGTTCTGTTTTCTGACGTGCAGAGCAGGCAGTTGCTGTTAGCATAGAGACCTTTTGCACATGCACATACATTTGCTGTGTAATTGTGGATGTGTTGGAGAGCACAGACTGTTCTGTGAGGACCCGCTGCAGGCTCACCACGCACCAGACAGGCACAACCACACAAGGGTGCTGACTGGTGGGATGGAAGTGCATGGGCAGGGCTGCACTCACATTGCTGCCAGGCAGCGCTGCGCAGACAGCATGGGCTGCATCTCATCCCTCTGACAGAGCGGTCTGGGGAAGAGCTTGCCCAGAAATGCAGCAGGGTATGGAAAGGTGCTGCTAGAAGTGCTGCTCCTCACAGCTCCACTTACTAAGGTGCTTTTTGCAAAAATATTTACAAAAGTTTCATGCTTTTACTGTATAATCAGGAAATCATTTCAAGTGGTCCAAAGCACTTGTTTGCTGGTTCATTATTCATTTGTTCATTGATTAATGAAACACAAAGTTTCCTCTTCTTACTCACTTTCCCTTTTTTAGTGTAGCCAGGTACAAACTGAAGACCATAAGCTTTTATTTTTTAAATTTGGGACTCAGTGCTGAAGGAACGCAGAGCCACAATGGCAGGGTGCAGTGGCAGTGCAAAGTCATGGCCTGCAGCAGTGATGGAGCACCTGGTGGAAGGCAGGGCCAGCCCAGCTCAGCTGCATGCAATGTACTGAGTGATGGAAGGGCTGGATCCGGGATCCACCCCACCCCAGCCCTCATTTAAGGCTCGGCAGTGGAGGTGTGAGTGTTTTGCTGGAGTTCCTGAGATCTTGTAAGGGTAAGCAGATTTTTCTTCCATTGTTTTGGTGTCTGTAGCTATATTGAGTATCTTCACCTGCTGCAGCCTGGGGCTTTGTTGCTCTACTGTCATTGCTGTGTGTTCTATTGCATTATAACATTACATAGGAAGAGCCTGCAATCTTTTTCTTGGGGTATTTAGGAGACAGAAAGCAGAAGAGGGGTACAGATAAGGCTGTGAAACCAGTGACAAAATGGCATCTGAGTTCGTCAGGTCTGGTCAACAGGTGCACACGGCCTCAGTGTGACTAAGAGTTCTGTTTTGCTGGTTTTGTTTGTGCTTGTGTGTGAACACAGGCACGTATGTGTTCAGATGTGTGTAGATAAGAGTTATGTGTTCTACTTGTGCCTATATCACACCTCCCTTTCTGCTCAATGGAAGTTTATCCGTAACTTGTTTGTTCCATGCCAGTCCTCATGGCACATTTCTGACCTTCAGAAATCTTGGTAATATTCAAGCTGTCTGAATTTTGGCTATTAATGGGATGCATGCAGTTATATTTGGAAGGAGGTGCTACTGTTATGTTGATGGAGTTCTGCACCTTCCAGTGAGGCAGAGCATCCTTAAGCTGGATGCAATGCTATTATTCTAGATCTAAACTGTGGTAGAGAATAATTCTGTGTTTGTTCCTTTCCCTGCACATATAAACCCTCACAGATACTCATGAACTCTATCATTCTGTTCTTTTCTTGTTTGTTGCTTTTTTTTATCTTTGAATGTGGTGTCACAATTGCCCTGTGAGCATATATAGCAAAGCTGCCCACTGGAGAAACACCACCTTGATAGTGGCTCAGTTATGTTGGCCCCACTGCAGTCAGATGTTCTTCCTGGGGTCTGGAATATTGTGCAGCTGGAACACCCCCCAGTCCTAGCAGGCTCCTGCAACCAACAGCTGCTTCCAGCTCACCTGAGGTTTTATCACAGCTGCCTGATCTGTTCACCCCATCATCCACAAGTGATACCAATAGCTCCAAATGAGGGGCTGTTTACTCCTTCAATATTGAATGGCTGTTTGTGGGCTCACCAAGCTGACTCAGAGCCTGCTTTGTGCTCCTGTCTGTTTTCATTTCTGTGTTTCTTGCTAATTAAGCTCAGGTGTATAACCCTGCATGTGAGGTGAGATTCCATTTGTCAATGGAACATAAAAACTGACTGTATTCAAACAGGTGCAGCCCACAATAATGATAGTGAAGGCTTTTTATTTTGTTACATGACTATAATGAAGTGGAATGAATCTGCTTCTTAGGGAATGTTTGTGTCTGTCTTTAAGTGCCTATTTTTCAGCACCAGTGGAAGATACCCACATCCACACAGAGCATGGCAGAGAGGCATGACATTCATATTTGTCCTACATGTGGGTCTCAGTGGTGGCTTCTGTTCCGTGATGAGTTTCCTGGTAAACCTTAAGTGAGTCACTGTGCAGCTCTGCATGGACTGACCTTATTCCAGAAGAATTAACTTTCTCAGGTGTGTTTGCATAAGAAGCAGACACAGCTGATTGTTAGTAAAGAAATTGCTTGTTTTGAAGTCTTTAAATGGAACAAACTGTGTTTATTGGAGAGGTGGAACCACCAAGAAGCAGACTGTGAGACAGGGCAGCCTGGGCACAGACCTCTCAGACTGATTTCTCACTTCAGTTTCAGCAGATTGTGCTGATGAAGTAGTTTGTTTGGGACTTGATAACTGCCAAGAGCTCCATGGGAACTTCTATAAACCTCAAATCCTGTGTAGTCAGAAGGGTAATGCTGCCTCAGAGCCCACGAAGTACGAGGTGGTTCATCCACTGCGGGGGTGACCCAGCTCTGGGTTGTCCTGAATAAAGCAGCACACCGGTGTGCTGCCACCTGCTGCCATTTCTCCCTGTCACACTGCCTGCAGGTAACCATGTGTGTGCTGCCTCCCTGTGCCCTCCTGCACATGCAGGTGTAGCAGTGTGGGAAGGGTGCAACCGGAAGAGCCATGCACACGTTTTTCTTTGTAGAAGTTGAATGTTTCCTTCAGAACTGTTCTCAGATGATGCGGCTTTGGGGCTTTCTCTAAAGTCTCTCTGGCTCCCAAATCTGTCCATCCATGCAGTTAGCTGTGCACAGTCTTTTCCAGATGTTGTTCTAAAACATTGATAACTGAGGAGCTTTGATCATCAGAGAAATGTAAGTGCAGTTTTCACATCTGTAATGTGGTTTAATTACGCACACCACACCCAGCTTTCCTCCGTAATTACAACAGGAAATATTTATCTCTTTCTCAGATGAACCTGGATGTGGTTTCCAGGTCCAGATAAACAGCACTGTTTGTTTCAGGAGTAGTTTCATGTTTCCAGATGAGAGTGTGGAATAATGTCATTGTGTGAGTCATGCATGAGCGTATGCAGGTAGTTGCCGTAAAGAGTACTTGATAAAATACTGCCTCCTTATTTCCTGGGATGGATTTAAGGTACACAAGTGAGGGTGGCTGATCAAGTATTATTGTGTGATGCAGATGTAGTGAGCAGGATGGCTTTGCCTTGTTTGCAGTGAGACCTGCAGTTTCCTTACAAGACCAGAGAGTATCTTTTTAATAAAGAGACAAATGTGCAGTGAAAAGCTTCTCTCCTCAGTGCCGTAGGTGCTTTGCATCTTGTTGGTATAAATGCAGTCATATTGTCATTGTCTGACAATGCAAATGAGGCTGTAGGGAGATGATGAAACTGAACAGCAAACTGATCTTGTGCTCACATGACACAGCAATGTTGGGTGAGTTGGTCCTAAAACAGAAACTTGTCCATAGAGTACCTAAACATCAGGAAAATGAGAGATTAGACCGGCAACTTGTCATGCTATGCCCTTCCAGTCTGCTCTCCTGAAGCTGATACTTTCCATCATGTGCACTCGAGTGGTGCTACAGAGCTGGTGCAGGGTTTGGATTGCACTCGGATTGTGAGATTTGTGCCCTAAGCTCCAACCACGAGAGGTCTGTTTTGCTGCCTAAATGCTGCGTGTGTAACTGGGTGTTAGGAAGGCAGAATTATGAGTGCCTCTCTAGAATAACCTGAAATACGTTGTGACTGTGTGTTACGCTTTGTTTCCCAGTGCTCTCTGTGAACCTTCAGGTTGCTCCCTGTCCCCCACCTGCAATCTGAGGGAGCAAAGCCGCTCGGCTGCTCTGACCCCCGAAGGCAGCACGTAACTGTAACTGACGTTACCTTGGAAATCTCATTCGCGTTTTGTTTTTGCACCGGGAGAGCGGCGGCGTTTAAGAGCACGATGACCGGGCAGGCTCCGCGCTCCTCCCGCCCCGCCGCATGCGGCCGCAGCGATCGCGGCTCCTCTGCTGCACGGCGGCGGAGGGGCAGCGGCCGGGCCCGGCAGGACGGCTGAGTCAGCGATCCGCCCGGCCGCGCCCAGCCAATGCCGCGCCGGTGCCGGCCGGGCCGGGCGTCCCGCTCAGCTCCGCTCCGCCCGCGGGGCTCCTCCCGGGGCCGGGGCCGCTCGGCCGGGCCGGCGGTTATGGGGACGGGCAGCGCCGGGGCCGGCGGGGCAGCCCCCGCGGCGAGCCCCTGCCTGCGCCATGTAGGCTATCTGGAAATGGGGAAGATCCTCGTGGAGTGAGGAGGGCTTGCTTCATGTTTTCCTTTATTTTCAGAGGTTTGGTTGGTTTGTTTTTTTTAAGCTGTAGATGTTTTTCTCGCCCTTTTTTAATTACCGTTTTTGGAAGATGAAATGCTTTTCACGTTACCTGCCTTACATCTTCAGGCCTGCGAACACCATCCTCTCCTCCAGCTGCCACACGGAAGGTACCGGCGGGGGGCGGAGAGGGGGACGCGGCTGCAGCGCGGCGCTCTGCCCCAGCAGTCGGCCGCTCCAGGCGGGGCGCGGGGACGGCGGCTGGCCGGGGTGATGTGGCAGGAGAGGGCTCAAAAGGCGGGGGGAAAGGCTGGATAGGCGTAGCAGAAAATGATTTTGATTCTGTAAATGCACGTGCCAAGTGTGTGCTGTGTGAACCAGCAAGCAGCAGGTCTGGCTTAAGGGAAGACTTTCTAGTTGTTGCCCTGCGTGGTTTACAGGTTTATGTGGTTTGTGACTGGAGTGCTTGCTTCATCTGGTATGCTCCGAAGAAAATGAGGAAAAAAAAACCCAACACATCTTGCAGATCCTGTTTTTGCTTGTCTGTGCTCTTCCCCTCACTCAGGGAAGCCTGTTTCCAGGTCTCAGCAAAGCAGCCGTGCAACTATTTGAGTTAATTGTAATGCTCTGAACAGCGCTTGAACTTCATGTTTTGCACATGGGAATGCAGAGCAGTAGGGCTGTGTTTTGCTGAGACTTCAGTGAGAGCTCTCCCATAAGGAGTCCTTTCTCATACTGATTGATAATCCCATGTGATGACTGCATGAATGTTAGCTGTTTTGTGAATCGTGCTCAGTTGTTCCCAACTTCCCTGTGTGGAGTTGCAGCACTTTCCCTCATGCTCCCCAGCTGTAGTCAGTTGTGGTGGATAAATCTGCTTGCTGAGAAGCAATGTCCAACTGTACATGTGCTACCAAAGACACAGAATCGAGGAGAAATTAGGAGGCAAAGCTCTTTTAAGTTACACATGGATAAGGACCAGTACTGGCAATGTTGCTTTGAGGTCATTCAAGTATGTTTGTGTATAAACCTGAAAAAGTGAAGGAAGGACTGGTGATTGAATGTGATACAGTGAGCAGTGTGAGCAGTGGACATGCAGGGGAATTCTGGCATAAAAACTATGGCCATCTGGTGATTCCTCAATAAGGGAAAGTAGCCTTCCTGTCAGTCAGCTTTCTGCATACTAATTTGGCTGCTTCAAGGCTGTACATGGAATGAAACACCAACCACATCCATGAACAAGATGACGATCAAGACAGTTACTGTAGGGATGTGCAGTCATGGCTATTTTTGAGATGATTGGCTTCAATCTCTGTGCACAGCATGATGTAGCTGCAAGGAGATATGGCAGGCAATACCTTGCCTTGGCTTCTGCTGCTCGGCTGAGAACGTTGTCAGGTTTAAGATACGCAGAGGAAGGGCTGGGCGGGAAGGACAGGGCGATAGACTCCAGGTTGGACTGTTCCGTCTCTCTTGGTTGCTATGTTTTGCTTCAAACAGGCAGTATGGGCTTTAAGAAAGAAATTACTCTGAAATCTATTGGGATAATTTTATCTGCTTAGAATGACTCAGACTAATTCCAGAATTAGTTACTCTGGAGTTCTTTCTTTGAAAACCTCTTCTCTGAACATTTCTTTTGTTTTTGCTTTGACTTTGTCCAAAGGCACTTCTTAACTTATTCTAAATAAGTAATTTTTGGATTGCTTTGTTGAAATAAGTTATGCAACAGAGAAAGATACTGCTGTTTTAGGGGAGGTCATGGGGGAGTACTGAGAGGAAAAAAAATGGAGTACTGTATTGTTGTGTTATCTGTTCTCATCCATTTGAAGAAAAAAAAAAAAAAAAAAAGAAACTTATACGGAGCAACTTCTCATACCAATTATCAGATGTGTCATTAACTGTGGGTGAAACTGGGATCTGGAGGGTTTGAGTGACTACAGGCTTAATTGCTGGCTGAACTGAGGTGAGAACAGGCACAAGGAAGGTTCTTTTCTCAGTCCCCTGTGTGGCTGTAAGGGTCAATGGAGCAGACAAGAATCCTCTGCGTGGGGTCTGGCAGGAGCCTGATGTATTGGACTGTCGGACTGGTGAAGCTGCACTTGGAGCTGTACCTTGATCTAATGGGGCACAGACATTCACAAATGATGGAACTTCTGTGGGTGAAGCTGAGATGATTCAGTGATGGGATTCAGATGCTGCCCAGGCCTGCACCCAGCACAGGGCTTCCTTGGCAGGTCTTTCAGGCTCTGCTCCACGAGCAGATGATGATGCAGGAGGGCTGAGCCTGTAGGACTGAGAAGGTCCTTCCCACTGTCAGCCCAGCAGCAGCGTCTGCACATCACCCCACACACGTGGCTGTCCTGACAGAGATCTTCCTCTGCACCCACTTCTAATGCCATGGGAATGCTGCAGCATTGTTACCTTTCCTGTGAATGTGCTGGTTTATGGTAATGAATCAGAAGGAGAGGGTTCACCTGGGGGGAGCTGGCACCTTTAACCTCTACGTTGGTGGCAATGTGACTTGTTACTGCTACTGAGCTCTTGGTGCTCGATGTCATCCTGAAGCGCCAGCCTCCTCGTGCCAGTGCACGTGACAGCATTCAGAGCAGCATCTGCATCCTCAGATTTTGTCAGAGCTTTGGCAAGCTGAGCCTCAATGGCACCTCAGTGAAGTATTCAAACAGGTGTTTAGAGTGATGTGTTTGAATTCAGTCCTGTTCAAATGCACAGAAACATACACTTGTGTTCCACTGGCCCTAAAGGCGTGCCTGTAGCTTGGCTGAAGATGAGGAGTTTGCGTTGTTGGCTCAAGTTCTGTAACTTTTTGGACTTGGTTTGGTACTCCTGAGCTGTTTGAGGGTGGAGTATTGCTGTAGAAGAGCATTTCTCAATCTGTCACTTAGATTGCAAAGTAACTACTTGGATTTATGTTGTTTTCATGGTGATGTGTGAACTGAAAATTAATCCAAATATTTCTTTGATACAGAATATGCACTGTGGACTTCTAATAGTTTCTATGTGCTGGAAAAGGGTTCAGTGGTTCCTTGATGGAGCTGTATTCATGTTAGTGTTAGGTTGGCATGGAGCAGTGGAGGAGCTGCAGCAATGATACACCTGGAGAACGTGTTACGCAACAAAGCACTTCAGTACGTGTGAACACAAGATATGTGAGCAGTGTGAACACAAACAGGCTGATCACAATAACTGCTTTTTTTTCAAAAACAAATTTTTTTTGTTTCTGCAACATGTTCAGCTCAAGGATATGGATGATTGTTTAAACCCTGAGCTAAGTAATGCTCAGGAAAAAGCCTTTGAATTGCACAAACAATGTCCTTTCCTGCAGCCAAGGAAGCGAGCACAAAGAAGGGAAGTGAGAGCTCTGAGGTCACGGTTACAAAGTTTTGGTCATGCGTGTGTTTTTCTTCCAGACCTAACACAGAAATGTAGTCCTGTGTTTCCAGGAGAAATGCTGGCTGCTCTACCAAGTGTTATTTTGGATACTTCAGCTGAAGTTGAGCTTTAATTGTCCTTGAGTTGAGACTCCTCGCCCTTAAACCTGTTGATGTGCCCAGGAGATCAGGGTTGTTAAGGTGCAGATGCAGTTTTTAGTGTCGCAGAATGTGAGTGATGCACCTCTGATACTTTAATGCTGAAATTCTGAATGCTACAATGAGAACTTACCACTGCTGCTCTCAAACTAAGTTCAGAAATACGTGCTGAAGATTTTATACTATTTCATTAACTCTAATGAGAATGAGATGAAGGTTGGAGTTGAGTTGGTGCTGTGTGTGGGCTCAGGTGATAAACTCAGCATCTGTCTGCACCAGCACCTCTCACTGTTTCCTGAAGAGCTGACCAGGAGTGTGGCATTACGCTGCAGCTCAGCTCTGTGCGTTCTTTGTTTGTGCAAGTAATGCAGGTTGATTAAACTGAGGAGTTCAGCAAGAGGTTACAGAGCAGGTACCTTGGGATCATGCTCAGTAAGCCAAGCGTGAGGTCTGTATTGTTAATGTGCAATTTTGGTGCTGGCCAGTTTTCTTTCTTGTGGAGGGGAGAAAACAATGTTTCACTGCACTGTGGATAGATTTCTATTTGCTTGGAAAGTTGGGGGGGGGGGGGAGGGGGAAGAGATTTTCCACATCAGCTGTACCCCAAACTGAGGCAGCACGTGAATGGTGCAGCTCGCTTTGTGTGGTGCAGTTGAGCAGTAGCTGCCACTGGTAACGAAGGGTTTTGAAATCCTGCCATGCTTCATCTGAGCAGCTGTAGATGCAGATGTGAAGGGAGAAATGGTAAAATGTAACTTGTTAGAGAACAACAAGTGGTCTGGGGTGCAGAAAAAAGTCATGGATCACAGCTGCAGAACTGGAAAACAAAGAGTTTGCTGTACAATTACAAGGCATCATCTGGGTGTGAGTCTCATTAGTTGCCGTCTCTATTGTCTTTATGACGTTATCCTCCTGGCTGCAGTTGCTGCTCTGCTGGCTGCTATCTGGCCCTTCTATTGAATTAGTGCTGACTTTTTTGTTGGGAGATGGTATTGTTAATGATTTACCTATTCTGAGCTACACTCAGTAGGATCACTGGCACAAGTGTGGATTTTCCATGTTGCCTGGGGATCTGAGTATTGGACCAGGGCTGGAAGAAAACATGGGTAGATAGCATGATGATGTTTTGGAAGGATTGTTGTTGTTTTCTCTGCTTTCTTCTGGGGAGAATCTTCAGTCCTCGGTTACATCTTTGTGCTAACATCAATCAGATTAATTAAGAAGTATTCCCAGGATGAGGGCTTCACTCTGTTGCAGCTCAGAACAGCTCCAGGCCCCGTGGTGGGAGGTGGTCGGAGGAGGGCTGTGTGGGAGCTGCCATGCTGGGCTGGAGCTGTGCTGTGCTGGTGCACACAGTGCCCTCCTGCTCGCTGTCCATCTTAGGATCCTTCGCAGGCTCTGTGTATCTTGTCAGCACTGCTGACCAGCAGAGCTGCTCCGATGACATTGCTGTAACAGATCCCAGCTGACAGCAGATGGGAACAGCAGAGCTGGGCCTGCCGTGACCCTGGGGAGGGACCCCACAGAGCGCTCTGTGCAGAGCAGCCACTGCGCTCTGTCTGCAGCCATAGTGCTCGAGGGCTGAACGTGCAGCTGAATAAATAGATTTAAATGAATAGATG